AGTACACCGAATTAAACCAGTGTTTGCTAGTGGCAGACATCACGCAAAGATGTTTCTAATTTGTGAATAATCGCTTTATTGGGTTTCACCACCTATGTAGCCCAGGACTAAAGCTTGTAACAGTGTAGGACATTGTGAATCTTCTTAATAAATTAAAATATTTGCCTAGCAGGAAAGCTTAAATGCATGCCCTGTGGTTTAGTGAAGTGATTTTCCTCAGGTCTGAACAGTGTCTGTGTGTGTGTGTGTGCCGGGCTGCTTCGAAGGCTGTCTTACCCTCAACGCGCTCCTGTTCACAAGCACTTTCAATAACACCATGTGAGGAGAGGCAGCAAACAAGGTGTGCCTTTCTACAGCCAAACACCACAAGCTAAATTCCTCAATTCATTAGGAGAGAAACATAGCACAGCTTTCCCCGCATTCATCTTGCAAATGTGGCCCAAAGAATAATAATTTACAGTGGCTCATATTTCACTTGTGTACATAAGGGCAAACAGTTTGACTATTGAGAGAAAAATGCAGAGCGTGCTGCTAGAGGATGGGGGAGATGGAGGAATATTTCAGATGCTGTGATGGGTGGAGAAGGTTTCCTCTCTTTCGGTCAGGAACAATGTCTAAAAGGAGTAATGGGAAACGCTTTCGAATCTGGCATAGATCATATATCAGGAAGCTGCCAGAAATGTGTTTTGTTTTGCCTCACTTCAAAACATATTTGTGCTAAAATTATAAATTGAACAAAATAATGAAATTACAATTAATCTAATATTTGTTTTGTGTTTTTTGCAAACTCTCTTATTTTTTTTTATGTTTAATAAATATTTAATAAAATGCTCCGTCCTTTTCTCCACCCACTATGTTTAAAATCAAATAAACCAAAAAAATAAATGAAGCTTCAAAATTATTTTAACTGTTATAAAATTATTTTACAAATTTGAAAGTACAATAAAATGTACTGAACATAAATCTGTTTTATATAATAATTTAATTGTTAAAATATTTTTATTAATATTTAGAATTATTATTACAATATACAAAAATAATATGATTAATAAGATGTATTTATATAATAATTAAGACGATTATGGTGTATTTATATAATAATAGAAATATAAAATACATAAAAGTAATTCATATAAAAAGAATTCCTATCTATGAGGATCTGATACTTTTTTTAGAAATCCCACAGAACTGAATGAAACTGTAAATTGAATAAATGTGTAAACAGTATAAAAACAGTGTTAACACGTTAACTTTAACAGCCCTAGTTTTGACTTTTTTATATATAAAATAATAATACATTTTTACCTTAATTAATGTATAATGCTTCATGTTTCATACAAATGTTTTTAAATGGAACAGCAATGCATTAAAAAAGTGCCTCACAATGAGGAAAAAAGACTTTTGTAAAAAATGTTCATGCTTATCCCTGAGTGTCACATCACATACTGTATCTACACTAGCATGGGTTCTCTGCCTTTATTGGAGCCATTAAGATTAAAGTTAACGTTAAATTGAATAATCATGTTTTCAAGTAAATCCAGCTGCTGGAACAATCGGCGCTCTGTACCCTCACACTCCGCTCTCTGTCCAAGAGCGCCTAAGCCAGGTACGAGTCACATCGAAATCACACTCAGCCCTGCCGCTCTCTTAAAAAGCTTCTACTTATCTACCAACCACAGGACTTTCTCTCCACAACCATGTAGATGGCACTCAGAAATTGATTAGGCAAAGAGTGAGGGACACCTTTTTCCACGCAGCAGCTCTAGTTACTATTTTCATGTGGTCGCACAATGCTGAGACTTCAGATTTTCTATCCTTTTCTGGGTTTCCAATACTTCGATCTTGCGAGTATAGCTAGATTTCCAGTCATTTTTGTAGCATTTTTTAAACAGTCAGGGACACCTGAACGTTCAAGGCGATAGAAACAAAACGTCTCGGCGGCAGAAGTTTGACCTCTGATTCACTAATGAAATCCATTCAAATGACAAAGCCGAATTAAAATTCCACCGGAATATTCATTCTAAATATTTTTGGAAGTTTCCAGCATATGGTACATCAAATAATGAAACAAGGGAGCAGGGGTGCCGATGTCTTTAATTGTATGAAAAATTAAATGTAGCTAAAGTGAATCAAAGCTTCTAATACACATTAAAAAATGGACATCTTAGTTGCACAAGCCACACCTCTTTGCATTAAATTTGGTGATTAACACTCTCTGGCATATATCTGATGTGTTACTCTGTATTTGTTGATATATCTCTCCCTCTCTCTCTGACAATTGAGCAGGCACTGCTGTGGTTTGGACGTCCTCCAGACATCCTGCTTCTCCTGCTTTGTGGTTTTGTTTTGCAGATCTCATCTCTCTCTTCACCATTCCTGCTGATTGACAGCTGAGCTCAGGTATGAAAACAAACACACCACTCCAGTGGCGGTGGGTGGAAAGTGATCCGTAGCTGACTCCCCTATAAGCCCTGTACCCACTACCGCTGCCGATGTCAACATTAGGCTCAAAGAAAACACATAGGATTCTGCAACACTTAAGAGCACTTAAAAACAAATCTGGCCTGCCTCTCACATCCATGCAGTAAATAGCCTGATACAATTTAATTTTACTAGATAAACAGGGCTTTAAAACCACCTGAAACGGGAGAAAGTCAACAACAACTAACTGAACTTGTGACACACGAACAGATCTAAACCCAAAAACCGATCTGGTGTGATGACATTGTTTACTTGTTTTGTGCAACAGTGTTGGGCAGGTCTGGACGTGTTGCGGCGTTTTAGAAAACAGGTCTAAGTGTTCTCTGAGTTTCAGCTTTTTTCCCCACTCTCTCTCCACTATTGTTCGTCATTCCCTAAAGCAAGGGTTACTTTTTTCAGATCTAAACTCTGCTTCTTACCACAGCGTAGTGTCTCGACAGGTTCACAAGGTGAAAAATATGTAAAGGCTTTAAAGAACACCTGCGGAGATTTCGAAAGCAGCGAGAAACTTCATTTTATTCAGACATACAGTTCAGCGGGGGCAGCGATTCCTAGTCAATTTATTTATCGAACAAAGATCAAAGGCAGGTTTTTATAATGCGGCGACAATGGCACAAAGAACTGTGGGTAGAATGCACAATGCCATCGGTTCAAATATGAGAGCAAAAACAGCAAGGTCAAACAGGCAACAGCTTCCTTTTCATCCTCGTGCCATCTTTTATCCGGCGCTCTCCTCCATTAATTTCGAGCTAGAGGAACGTGTGGCCTTTGTATTGATTTTTTAACCTGACTATTAATGCGCTCTCTGATTTATCATAACACTTTAGATCTTAATCATAAGTTGTGTGTGTTTTCTTTTCCAGCTTGGTGCCTTTGTTTGTGTATTAATTAAGCAGACCTTGTGTGTCTCCAACCCTGAGCTTCCTTTTTAATTGCCCGTATTTACATCAGGCCAACTTCAAACGCAGAGAGAGACATTTTGTAAGGGGGAGCACAAAGGAGGCCTTTGAAACGTCTACAGTCATAAGAAATGGCAGGCTAATTAGAAACCTTAGGCTGCTGGTATGATATGAAAAGTAATTCTGTCTGTTTCTCTACAGTCGCCCCGCAGCCTCACTGGAAATCACGACGGAGGTCACTGGTAGGGTATTATCAACGCCTTCTACCTGTTTTTACCTTTTAAACATGACCTCACCCAAGGCCATTTATCCAACAGAAAAATACCCTGTAATTTAAAAAGATCTCCTTTCAAAAGGCTAAATCTTTCCTTGCCATTTTCTTCACTGCACTTTGATCTACGGTGCCACATAACGGGGACAGGTACAATTAATCTGGTTTACTGAGATGTGATTTACATTTGGGGGTTCATTAAGGTTATTGCCAATGAATGCACTTATTAGAATGTACAACTGTTTCTTTTTCCCCCGTTCTCT